GTGTGTGTGTGTGTGTGTGTGTGTGGCATGTGGGGGGGAGGAGGGGTGCGTATACGTGCGTGCGCGCAAATGGGTTTAATGTACTCGTATACATATAAAAAAAGTATCTTTAAGTACATATATATTTTGTTTCATTTTGCCAAAGAAAAATAATTATCTGCAGGCAATTATCTTAGTACACGACATTTTATAAAAAATATCGCGCACATTTTATAAAAAATAATTAACAATCTCTTGAACTAATGTTGATGAATCGTGCTCCATTATAAAGCGAGTCGCTGACGAAACCATGGATAATCTCACGCGCATCAGCACGTATCTTGGTTGATCGATCGTTGTCGGCCAACAATCTCCGATGTTGTTTGATTCCATCACGATCTTCGTGCCGAATCTGGACTCGATGATAATGGTCCTGAGGGTATATCAAGCAACTTGTTGCACTTAGTATCATTGAGTTCCCATCGAAACTCATCATGGCGAGTACGAGCAATATCCTTGCGGCATTTGCCATCGCCTTTTTGGCCTGTTTATCTCTAAGTTCGGCTCTCGCCCAGCACAACTTAGATATCTCTAATGCCTTTGAAGATCTCGAGCTGCAACCATTTCTTCGGGAAAAAAGACAAGAGAAAGCAGAGGTGTTCCATCTAAGAAATAGTAATCCTTTGGAATTGGAAGAAGAATTATCAGAGCCCGCGAAAACCGTCTACGAGAGAAGAGCGGTCGTGGAAGAAGCAAAAGATGATGGAAAAAGCAAGGAGCGAGAGAAACCGAGTACCGAGCCTAAAATAAACAACGATATCGAAAAAGAAGAGGAAGATGCTCAGGTAATTAAAATATGTTTAATTTATTTGTTACAGCCGCGCGGAGCCGAAAAGTAAGTCTAAAGAGCTTTCTCCTCTTTCAGGACGATATATTTTCATATAGGAGTATGCACGATCTCATCCAAGCATTGATTCTCGCGGATGAAGAGGACATTGCTGAGAGACTACAACAATTGCGAGAGGTAATTGATGATGAAAATTTCATGAAATGCAAAATATCACTGTTATATTATATTTATAGATTACTATCTGATTACCTATACTATATATGTATGCAATGTATTAAATGTCGCAAACTTTTAATTGATAGAGAAAATTTATATTTTACTTATATTTAAATAATGAAGGAAGAAGATTGGAGAAAAAGACAGGCATAGTTGATCTATGATGATTAGATCCATTGTGGCTAATGTCACATATTTCAAAATTTGACAAACTGATTGCCGCGATCTTATATTTACCTTATTTGTTACCTTTAAATTTCCTTTTAATTTGTTTGCAGAATGCTACGAAATCCGAGAAATTTAGCAAATTGCCAAAGCGTCAGGCGGTAGCGTCCGCAACCGCAACAGCATCCGCGTCAAGCAGTCTCGTCGGAGCGAATCTGTGGGACGCCGTTTCTCTGGTCGATCTGGATGAGCACTCTTGCGAGGTCGAAGCTTTTTCACATGGTCACTTTCACGTATCGGGAACGATCGTGCACGAATTCTTCTGCGAGTTGAGGAAGTTCTGGCATTACGGCCTGATTGTCTTCCGGAATTTGAAGTCCGGGCTTACCTTCGGACCATTGATAGCTGGGGATATAATTCACGAAGGCTTATTCAGCCACTTGTTCCATCATACTTCGCGTCTTTTCGATGTCATCATCAGCGAGCCCCATCATCTGTTGATTTTGCCCGATATAATCCGAGATGCTGTACCGTTGACTAGCGTCACCGGTGCCTGCCATCGATTTAAACACGTCTTCTTCAAGGTACTGCACTTTGGGCTCGATCTCTTCCGCGGACACGTTCGTCACGTCCTCGCGCACTTGTTCTCTCATCCGCACTTGGGCGTGCATTTGCGAGAAAGGTTGCATCACTTGCATAGATTCGGCTCGATACTTCCGCTGGAAGAGATAGTCGCGGAACCGATCGTATCCACGGCAGCGGCAGCGGCGACAGCGACGGCAACGGCGACGGCGACGACGACGTCGACAGCGACTACCTCTAGCGATAGTTCGATCATCGTTCCAGACTACCACAGATCATTGGCAGAAGTGCTATCTTCATTCCGCGGCTTCTACGATGGTTACCACGCGTCTGGATTAGCTCATCTGATTAGAACTGGCGCAAGGAGCATCTCCATGTCCTCAGCGTTCCCCAGAATCAGCTCGTGTTTGTCGCCCTTCTTCAGTCATTTTACAGGATACGGGCCAGTCGAACAGAGCACTACAGTGACCACGGCATCCAGCACGTCCAGCACATCAAGCTCCATTGGTGGTATCGGTGCAGGTAGCCCATCCATACTAAGCCCAGTGATAGAACCAACGATAGTTCCGGTAGCACCACCGGTACCCGTCGTCCCTATTCAGACCGAAACTGCAAGCTCTACGGCGTCCGCTACCGCCACCGCCACTGCCACCATCGCCGAGACGCAGCCGGTGTTTTCCGCTGAACCGACAATCATCCCTTCGGTTATCCCCTGCGATCAACCAATCTCTTCAGGTGTGGCGGCAAGTGCGGCAGCAGCAACGGCAACCGCGGCGGCAGTGCCAGTTGTTTCAAGCTACCCGACTGCGTCTCTGATACAACCGGTACCCACTTTGTCCCCGGCGATTGTTTCCAACACGGTGTCCGAGAGTAGCTCCGTGGTCGTAGCCGCGCCGGAAGCCGCGGTTCTGCCTACTGTTCTGGAGGGCAACGGGGCTGCAGCCGCCTCTGCTACTGCTGCAGCTGCAGCTGCGTCCTCAGCCGCGAACGTCTTCCCGACTTCGGTCGTTGGACGAGCACCAATCGCCTTGCCATTGCGCAGACACAGGCCCAGACCGATCCTATCCACTGTCACACCCGCAACCGCGGCCGCGGCCGCGAGCGCGTCCGCTTCCACGGGCGGCTATGTCCCATCCTTTGGACCGGCTCGATATCGTGGTCTCGATCTGGACATTGATCGCAGAATCAGATATCCATCACCGATTCGTTCGCAAGTCTTCCCCGCCGTGATTCCGTCGTCGGCCGTCACCTCGTCAACCGCCGCGGCCGCAGCGGCGGCGTCAACCTCCTCCTCGTCTGCCGCGGCCAGCAGTTCAGCCAGCTCCATTTCCTCGGGTGGCTTCAACTTTGTCCTGCCCAGGGAACAGATAATCGGTGCTCTGGGTCACGACGACTACCTACTGCCGGGCGACGTCGTCGTGGTTAACCTGAGAAACAAATCGAGGCTGTTCGGCCGCGTACTAGATGCCACCAGCCCAGTCACGTTCGGCTTTCTACAGCCGAAGATGCGTGCCTCTTTGCTCCGTCACGGTGGACGTGTCTGGAATCTGCTACCTAGAGACTTCAGGGATCCGGAGTGCTTCCGGAAATTTAACAATCCTCTACTCCTGCGTCATGGCATTTAGACATCACTATCTATCTCGTGACTAGTCCTCAATCATTATCGACTATCGATTAACAATTATAGCCGATCGCAATTGTGAATAAAGATGTGTCTTGAAAAATTGATTGCATTAATATTTATTTTCATAACAGTTTATTTTAGTATTAGTATTTTGCGAGCGTTACGTATGTACTTCTGTCTCAATGTTAAATCGAGTTGCTCAACGTGCGTAAAACCGTTTCTTTTTTTCACCGTTATTTGTTTATAATTCTTTCTCATTTCTTTATTTTAAACTGAAACACTTGCGGCAATTTTTAATTAAATACGTGTTAAAAAACAGACGTACTTTGCATGCAATTTGCAAAAGACACTGCGCGATATGTATTTGGCAAGTTTACACAATTGTCGCGAAATATACATATAAAAAGGTCATCTTTCCGAGATACTCCAGTGTGTCAACACTGGTTTTATTTGTTACATCCTATATATATGTATATATATATATATATATATATAGGATGTAACAAATAAATACACATAAATACTATATTTACATATGTATATATAGTATAATATTTTAAAAAGATCATTACAAAAATAAATTTTTTAATTTAAATCTTGTTTTAACGTTAAAGTAAAAAAAAAACACGAAAAAAATAACGAACCGTTATTTTTTAAGAAACGATAACGATTTACTTTTGAGAATCAGTAACTTAACAAAAACTAATTATTTTTCTAACTCAGTAACAAGTACTGGTAATGAATTACTTTTATAAGTAACTATTGCAACCTTGGCGTGTGCACACGCACGTATGTAGAAGAAAGGCGCAAAGTATCCGTTTTAAATAAGAACTTTTGTCGTAGTTATATTTTTCTAGCACGACAAGAAATCAAGACGCGCACATCTATCATAACTTGAAAGATTCCTTCACTTCATTAAAATCAAATAAGAACAACCATGTGTAATGCATATCAATGCAATAAATAAACAATACAATTTATATAATATTTTACATACATTTTAACGCGCTCGACAATGTTACAAATATTGCGACGCATTCTGTATTTACAATTAAAGAGAATTATAGAGACTGATTTAGACGTATTGCAGATAGCTCCCTTAATTTTGAAACTGATGAACATTACTGTCGCATTATTATAGATATAATTTGAAAACGCAAAGAAATGCAATGATTACTATGTTGTATTTGTATGTACATTTAACAATCGAACATGAATATAAAAGAAGCGATGTTTCTAAAAATTATTACTTTCAGATTTCTTTTAAAAAAGATTAACTCTTTTTAAGAAATTTTTGTTTTTTCTAATAAACAAATATTTTTCTACATTTCTTATTGCAATTGACAACAAAGATAAATTTATTAATATGTTATAATATCAACTTGATAAAAAATTTCGGATTCGAAAAGTCGAAAGAAAAATGGATAAAACTAAATTACTTATGACATATAAGAATATGATATACGTTTATGTAAATGTAATAAATGCCCAAAATGAGATGCAGATAATTTAAGGTACGCAACATTATTCGAAATGCGCAATTAACATAGTTTACTACTCGCTAATAAGCTATACTGCAAACTTAATTGTAGAAATATATATTACTAATTATAATATGTATCCAGCAAATAATAAATATACAACTGTTTTGCATTATTAATCAGACAACCGTTACACTACACGGTTAATTCGTTTTCGCAAGCGGATTGATTGAAAAATTTGCTGACGAATTATCATAACAAAGCTGAAGCCCTGTCTTTAACGCGAGATAGTCGGACGATGCTTTAACGATCGATGCTCGTCCAAATATCGCTCTATTCTCCACCAATTTCCACAATCCGAGTAAGCATGGAAAAATATATGAAGCGCATCATATTGACGCGCTTGCTGATGTCTCTCATGCGCGCCGGGATGTGATTATCAAGTTCCAAGAAATCTATCGAGATATCACCAAGCGGGTCATTGCAGAGAGCTCGAGACTTTAGCATTTAGTGGAGGAGCAAAGAAAGATCCAAGTTTAAATTTTTTTCTTTTATTCACATATATATGTACATCGCAAATTGTTGTTTATTGTTGACAAACTAGAACATTCTCAAGATAATTAAAAATATTTTTATCGTAAAATATCTATTGCATTATTATCTTAAAATGAACTTATTCTTCAAGAAATATTAAAAATGATAATTAACTTTTTCTTTTCTGAGAAAAATAACAAATGGTCGTTTGTACTTATGATTGGACGAATGTTGATGATTTTGATAGAGAAAAAAAATCAATAATGTTTTTTTTTTTTAATATTTCCTGAGCGGTACAACTCGCTTGGAGACAGCCTATGATAAAAACATTCTTGAAGATGATTATCTATCTCTCTTAATAATGATTAATGCATGCGTGCGTATGTGTATATGTGGGAAGGTGTATTTGTGCACGGGCAAATAAAAAATTGAAATTTTACTCTTTTGCTCTGCTTAACTAAATGTAACGTAAAATACCTTTACAGAGTTAAAGTCGACTTGAAGCCAGGTGAAAGATGATAAAAGATATACATATATATATATATATATATATAGAATAAGAAGAACGTCAAAGAGATCTATAGTTTATCAGAAGAATGTCAAAAATTGGATTGTCGAAATGCGCGTGAAATTTATTACGTACCTACGTATATATTATGATTTTAAGAGTAACTTTGCCTCATTGTCAGTAAAGATATGTCGCGACGTAATGTGAAAGATGTAGGAAGAATAAAAATCAAAATCAATTGATACAAAACAAACGACATAATTAAAATATATTTGATGACATGCAGTGATACGCGATACATAAAATTGTAAGAAAGTATATCCTCTTAGTGTATTTCTATTAATTAATCTCCATTTTTATTTCGACACATTTGATTGTATAGTTTATGCAGCAGTTACTAAAATTATTAATGTTTTATATCCGTATAAGAATTTAAACTTGCCGAGCTCGAAAAATAATAAACAGATATATACACATATACATTGCAAATGTACAATTTTTAAAGACACAAATATATACATATAACTCTTTCAAATTTTGTACAACAGCGAGAAAAGTTATTAATATCGTGGCGAGTAAAAATAATATTAAGATTACATTTAATATGACAATTTAATATGACTTGCGTCATTGATTAAACCATGAGGAATAATTGAGATAAAGTGTTGACAAAGTGTACTTGTGCAGTGTATATTCCCATCTTTTGTAGATGCCCATCACTGATTGGTGATTTGATACGAAAATCAACTCGTCATATTTCTTGTGCAAGGAAATGTTCTGAGCAAAAAATGTTGTTATGCCAGGCATTATGACGTCTGACATGATTTCGTTGAATCGGTAATTAACTGTTTTAATTTATCATGTACATCAATTCAACTTATTCATTCGCATCATCGCATTATTAAGCGCAAGGACGCTATTCAGTAAAGTTAGCGCAGGTGTGCCATGTCAAATAATGCGTCGGCAAATGAGAGCTAGAATAATGGGTGGGCACCCATGCAACAGGCACAATAAACAAATTTTGGCCAATATATAAGCGTGTCCGTTGAAATGATTGTCATTGCGTATCACGATTCGTGATTTCTCTCCGACGAAGAATTGTTTGGCTTAACATCCCTTCGATCGCTTATTCTCCCTCGCGATGGCACGCGTTGCTCTTTTAGTGACCGTGCTGGCAGTCTTGTGCTACACGAGTCAGGTAAGTTGCTTAATTTGCAAATGCAAAAGAATAGAGAGAAATATTGCTAAGTATCGAATATTTCAAGATAAGCTAAAGTTAATTTATACATGCTATAATTTTAGACATTTTTCTAATACAATATACAATTCTAATATCTCTTATACAAGCAATGCGTTTTACGTAACTCTCTATAGCTCTCTCTCTCTCTCTCTCTCTCTCTCGTATAGCTTATTATTTTACGCTCTACTTTTTCTATAACGTATAAGTTAGTATACATCATTTCGTTGTATACTTATACAACTGTGTCACGTGATACATGTATGTACATAACATTTATTTACGTATGTTTCTCAATACATGTATATCATATGCTTTGAAATATAATTAAATCTTGTTTTTTTTTTTTTCAATTGCTTGTTAGGCCATCCCGGTGCAAATTGAAAATGTGGAAGGTACGCAATTGTCCAATCAAATTACCGACAAGATACAAGAAATGCTTGACCGGATTCCTGACGAGATGAAAAACAAATTCAAGGTTTTCGCGGACAAAATCATGGAACGTATGAAACAACTCGGAAAACAACTTCAGGAAAAAAAAAAGATCGCAGAGAAAATTTTTGAGGAAATTAAAGAGAAATTGTTACAAGAGTTACAAAAAAATAAATTAAATATGAACGAAATTATTGAAAAGCTCAAGGAATTGAAAAAAAAGCTCGAGATAGATTATCAGTATGCACAGAATGATGCAAGTCAAAAGATTAAGGATGCCTTCAGAGAGCACACTCTTGAAGAACTGAAGGAGAAACTCAATTCACTTAACGAAGACAAAAAAAAAGAGATCTTGGAGAAACTCAAGTTACTTAACGAAGACAAAATAAAAGAGATCTTGGAGAAGTTATTAGGTAAGAGACAAAGCGAAACTTATGGCGTCGGAAAAAATATCCTAGAGAAGGGCAAAGACGGTATCCAAGACAAATTGACGAAAAACTCGAAGAAGATTATAGGTGATGCTGACGAAGCCTTCAAGAAACTACAAGAAAATGTAAATGACTTTATGCAGAAGACTAAGGAAATGAACGAAGAGATGAGAAACAATCTGGCGGATCGTATCAGTAAAGTGAAAGGAAAAGCGGAAGAGGCTGGAAAGATAAAGGGAGCATTCCGCAGCATATCCGACAAATTGAAAAATGGTATTGAGAAGGCGAAGGGCAGTTTCAACAAAGGCATAACGAAAATTGTTAAAGGAATCACTGAACTTCAGAATGGACTCGGCAAACTGAAAGAAAGCGCAGGCGGCAAGGCGAAAGAGATTTTCGGAAAGATGAAGGAAGAAGTTGGTAAAATGAAAGAGAAGTTGACGGAAAGAGCTGACGAACTGCAAGGCAAGGCAAAGCGCTCGATCGAGAATTTGAAGGAAAAAGTCGGCGATCTAAAAGTGAAATTAGAGGCTCGAGTTGGCACGTTAAAGAAGGACATAGACGATGCACGCGAGAGAATAATGAAGAAAGCCGGCGAAATGAAAGATAATGTCGAGAAGAAAAGGGAAGAAATCAGCAAACTGGTACAGAAGGAACTGAATCTCTTAACCGATAAACTGAAAGATATAATGGAGAACCTTTTCGAGGAAACGAAGGAAAAAATCAGCGAACTGAGTACGGAATTCAAGGACATAACTGCTAAAGTAAAAGACACGGTGGAAAATATTGTTGGAAAAGTGAAGGAAAAAATCGGCAATCTTGAAAATGTAATCGACGAACTGAAAGGAATGAAAGGCAAGCTCACAGAAGAACTCGGCGAATTGAAGAAGAAGTTGAAGAAAATGGTTGAATTAAACACAGACGAATTGAAAAAGATGGTGGGAGATCTTAGCGACGAAACGAAGGAAATAATCGGTAAAATGAAGAAGGAAATTAGGGAAGAAGCCGGCAAACTGAGGGAGAAATTAAAGGAAGAAGTCGACAAACTGAAGGGTGAGAATGATAAAATTGTCAACTATCAGCAAGCCGAACAGGCAGGCTTGGTAGGTGAAATACTTGATAAGGTCGGCGATTTGATAAAAATCCTTCTCTGAAATATCTTAATTTCTTCAATAATTTTTGACATTTTACCGAAATTACGCTCAATGAGCGAAATCTTCAAGTCTTGACATTCATTCTTTCAATTAGTCTTTCTTGTGTGGCTTCTTCATTCTAGATATTCTCACCTACAATGTTATTTCTCTCGTTCGAATATACATATCGTCCGAGTTACGTAACGCTTAACAATTGTAAATGAAAATTTGTAAGCAAAAAATAAAAGATATGTATGCTATAACATTGTTATAAAGTTGATTTTATCCTCAACATGCACTGCAAAAATTTTAATAAAATAAAAAAGATGATATAAACAGATTATATGTACATGGCATCTTTTTTATTTAATACATTTCGTTATATGTATATGATACATAACAAAATTATTTTTATTATTAATTTCGCATATTGTTTTATTGAACAACATTAACATAAAAACAGACTTAAATTGCATAGTTTTAAATTGATTCACAAATCTTTATCGTTATTTAGCATTCATGTTTCGCAAAAGAAAGAAGACAGGAAGAAAGATCTTTCATCAAAGTAATATTTTACAAATAAAAGTTATGTCAATTAGGTCACGACTTTTAATAATCAACGATAGTCGCTAGATTGAAAAACAACTCGCTATGCTTTAAAAGATTAGCATTTTATTATCCAAATGCTGTATTATAATTGACCGCGAATAAATTTAAAAAAATTTTCTCACGTATAATGTAAAAATAATAGAATTTTTTTCCCTATATATACGTATGCTTTTAAATATCATTTCTTCTGTTTTCTTTATTTTGACTTTTCACACACACACACACACACACACACACACACACACGCACACGCACAC